TTAGTAAACAAATAGACAAACTAAAGCCTAATAAGTCACCTGGTCCCGATGAGATATTTGCCAGAGTATTAAAGGAATGTAAGGAAGAGCTTAGTATGCCCATAGCAAAGTTGTTTAACATGTCCTTAAAAACGGGTGTAGTACCAGAATCCCGGAGGATAGCGAATGTAATACCGATTTTCAAGATGGGAGATAGATCACTATCCTCTAACTACCGTCCAATCAGTCTAACATCAATTGTAGGCAAATTACTGGAGACAATAATTTCAAACCTTATTCGAAATCACCTGGAGAAGCACAAGTTGATCAATGATTCCCAACATGGCTTCACAAGCGGGCGTTCATGTCTAACTAATCTATTAACATTCTTTTCAGCTGTTTTCGAATCAGTGGACGAGGTGCACAATTTTGATGTGGTATATCTCGACTTTAGTAAAGCCTTCGACAGAGTCCCCCACGAAAGGCTAATAAGAAAAGAGGAGGCTCATGGCATTGGAGGAGATATTCTAAAATGGATCAGTGTGTGGTTACAGGACAGGAAACAGCGAGTGAGCATTAACGGCAGTAAATCCGATTGGAGTAATGTCACTAGTGGAATACCCCAAGGATCAGTACTTGGACCATTATTTTATATATATATATATATATATATATATATATATATATATATATATATATATATATATATAAACGACTTAGATATCGGCATCGACAGCAGCATAAGTAAATTTGCTGATGACACTAAAATGGGGCGTGTAATTAAATCAGACGAGGACTTCTCAAAACTACAGGAAGATCTAAAAAAAAATTTTCGAATGGTCTGAAAAATGGCAGATGGAATTCAATGTGGACAAATGTAAAGTACTTAGTCTAGGAAATGTAAACAGAGAAACCAGATATCAAATGAACAACGATATTATAGAGAAATCCGAAAGTGAGAAAGATTTAGGAGTAATGATAAGTAGGAATCTTAAGCCAAGTAAACAATGTGTATTTGCTCGAAACAAGGCTAATAAAGTACTTGGGTTCATACAAAGGAGCGTTAGTTACAAGACTAGAGAGGTCATCCTAAAACTATATCTTGCGCTTGTGAGACCTCACTTGGATTACGCAGTTCAATTCTGGTCACCGTATTACAGAATGGATATTGAATCCCTAGAAGGAATTCAGAGAAGAATGACAAGAATAATCCCGTGCATTAGGACCTTGAGTACAGAGGCAGGTTAAAGCATCTTAATTTGCACTCCCTCGAGAGACGAAGAGTGAGGGGCGATATGACAGAGGTGTATAAATGGAAGTCAAGGCTAAACAAAGGGGACATTACAAAGGTACTCAAGCTATCAAACCAGGAGCGAACTCGTAACAATGGTTTTAAATTAGACAAATTTAGATTTAGGCGCGAAATAGGTAAACATTGGTTTGGAAATAGAGTAGAGGGTGAATGGAACAAGTTACCAAACATCATCATTAACTCGAATACGCTGGATAGCTTCAAACACAGGTTGGATGGATATATGAGCAATAGGGGTTGGGTGTAAACGGGACTGCCCAGTAGGGCCCAATAGGCCCTCTGCAGTTTCCTCCATTCTTATGTATGTATGTATGTATGTATGTATGTATGTATGTATGTATGTATGTATGTATGTATATATGTATGTATGTATGTCAAGCAACCGGAAGCCTTAAAAACCTCTCCAATTACCTTCATACTATTCAACGGAAAGAGAAAGTTGCTAATGAGTGATTGAAAACCTTCTTATCATTTGTGTTGGAAAGTGAAAAAAAAGAAAAATGCCAGAGAGAGAGAAGACTAATCTGTGTCTCAATATATTATACATTATTATATGACAGTTACCATTATTTGGTGTGTGTGTGTGTGTGTGTGTGTGTGTGTGTGTGTGTGTCGCCGTCACCCACACTCTCTCAAACACTCGACTCTAATCTAAACATCTCGTTTGCATAGTTTATCAAAACTGCTTTCAACCGTTGGTCTCTTGAGCGTTGTTTTAGAGAGAAAGTTTGATGGAACTTAAACAAAATATCTGAAGTAAAGATGTAGTCCACAGGATCTCTTGATAATGGTCGAATTTAGTGGAATTTCCTGTAATAAGTTTCTCAACAGGTAATGATCACACAAAACTGTTATCTTGGCATTTCCTGTGATCTTACTTACGTCTGGTGATCATGCTGACTTAGTAATGTTCTGTGGTCACTTGTTAACTTACGATACACAATGCTTAAGTGTCCAAAAAGCAGCAGAAGATCACCAGGTGTACAGGTGTGAGTACAGGTGTAATGACAATAGTCAACGCTACACGGGGCTCCTGTTGGCTCATAGTAGTTCTTGAGTTCTCTGGTTAACGTCAGTGTACCATGAGGTTAGACCATACACTTTTCTCCTTCCTTGTTAACGGCATCACGTATTACACACCGTTCATAATATAAAATCTTTCATTGTTTATATTATACTCGTAAATATATATATATATATATATATATATATATATATATATATATATATATATATATATATATATATATATATATATATATATATATATATATATCCCATTTTAGTCTCATAGTTACCTCAATATACAGTAAATATCGACAGGTTTGAGAAAGGGTAACTCCAGTTGTTTACAGTTGATTAATCACGTAACTACTGCTCTTATTTTCCCTTTCGATCCTTCAGAAATACCTGTCATTCCACACAGGTACAGTAATTACTATGTGGTGACGGTATGAGAGAGAGAGAGAGAGAGAGAGAGAGAGAGAGAGTTGGTGGGAACACTTCAACACTTCCTCACCTGTAAAGAAGTGTCAACATCCGCCCAGGTATTAATCAAACAACCACCTGTCGGGTTACCTTAATCACGTCCTCAAAGATGCCATTCTGATTTGTCCAAGAAGAAGAAGAAGACAGAAGGAGGAAAGAGAAGGAGTAAAATGGAGGAAATAGAAGGAGGAAACAGGAGGAAAAAACAGAGGGAGAAAACAGTCCCAATGAACTCGAGTCCTAGTGAACCCGATTCCTTATGAACCCGAGTCCTAATGAACCCGAGTCCTAATGAACCCGAGTCCAAATGAACCCGAGTCCTAGTGAACCCGAGTCCTAGTGAACCCATCAAGGTATAGTTCCGGCGGAGTTGACGGCCCGAGTGAACTGATCAACTGGTTACGATAAGATTTCACTTAACAAAGAGAAAGTTGTTCCGATTACATACTTTAAGGAACTGATGTGTGTGTGTGTGTGTGTGTGTGTGTGTGTGTGTGTGTGTGTAGATACTTCTTAAAACTACAATAACAGACAAATAAATACTTATGATTTAACAAAAAAAGATATACAAATCAGCACAAAATAAGAAGCTTCACCTCACACGATAAACAAGAGAGGAAATTGTTAACTACCAATTAAACAAAAGACGACAATCACAGTTAACCGGATGTAGGGTATGGAAGTGAGAGAGAGAGAGAGAGAGAGAGAGGCGTGTGAGGGAAGTTCATGGGTGTTTGTTCTGTCAATGTTTCCTCCTATATAACACAGCTGTATCCCATAGTCAGCCAACCAGTCCTCTTCTGACTCCTTCTGCGTCTATAGTGAGCGCCACGTCCTTCCCCAGAGTCTTGCCGCTCGTCTTAGGTCTCAGAAGGGCTCTCTAAGGGTCTCATCTACCAGAGGGACTTCATGTTTAAAGGAAGGAGCCTCAAAGGATATCGTAGACCGTAAGCGACAAGGAACTCCTACAGGGGAACTCACTAGGACTTTTCAGAACAGGTGACGTGTAACTCCAGAATAGAGGCGAAGGATTTCTTAGATCAGGAAGGACGTGGATCTCCTCATAGGAAACGTTAAAAGACTTGTAATCTGAGGAGTGACGTGGCTGACGAAGGACAGTGAGTGTCTGAGGGAGGCGACTACTTCAAGGTGAGTTCTGAAGCACCGTGTTGTCAGCCTCTCTCAGTGAACTCCGTCATATGTAGTCGCTTCCCATAATGCAGATGTGTGATGTAATATCTGGAGAGCCTGAACACACTCGCAGGTAGCTCAGTGACATATGTATAGTTTATCAAGTCCTTCCATTAATACCGTTATTAATGTGGCCTGGCAGATGCTTGTGTGTGGATGGTGGAGGGCGGCGACCTGTGTGCTCCTGACGATGTCCTTCACATCGCCAGCAGGAGCTTTCTTGGGTACAGGCGTGGCCGCCACCGTCACCCTCGGCTCTACAGCCCTCGCTGCCCTGGGCCTCCTGGGCGCCGTGGGCATCGGTGAGTAGCCTCCGTCAGGCAGTTGACATTTACCCTTAACACGACCTTGTGCTGGTCTCAACCACCTAATTATAGTTAGGTTAGGTTAGATTAGGTTAGATGTTTCTTAGCTTTCATCACAGTATAAATAGATTAACACAAATAAATATAAACGTCAAATTTACAAGTGGAGTCAATGAAAGAATATTCATTATTCGAATCCAGTACTTTGTTGGATACATGTTACAGGGAATAACTGATAATGAAATAAGGTTCAGAAGTTTCAGGTGTACAGTATAATGAACAAAAGACTAACGCAGACACAGCTACAGCTGCTATTGGGATCTGTAACTCTCTAAAACACACCTGAGTACTGGGTTCGTGTCTTGATGTCTCAAGTACACATATAATTAAGAGTAGGTTACCATTTTGTTATTATATTGTTTGAGTTTGTGTACCTGAGTTACCTGGCCTGACCTTAATTTCCCTACAGGTGTGGCCGTCAAGAAGAAACTCTACTATGGTAGTGGTGGTGGTGGTGGTGGTGGTGGCTATGGTGGTGGTGGTGGTGGTGGTGGAACTTATGGTGGTGGTGGTTATGGTGGTGGTGGTGGTGGTGGTAGGCGGTGGTGGTATGGTGGTGGTGGAGGCTGGTGGTGGTGGTGACATCATGGTGGCGGTGGAGGTTATGGTGGTGGTGGACATCATGGTGGTGGTGGACATCATGGTGGTGGTGGTGGTGGTGGACATCATGGTGGCGGTGGAGGACATCATGGTGGCTCAGGAGGAGGTTATGGAGGTGGAGGAGGTACCTATCCTGCCCCAACTCCGATCTATCCTGCCCCAGCTCCTACCTATCCTGCCCCAGCTCCTATCTATCCTGCCCCAGCTCCTATCTTCCCTGCTCCAACCTCATCCTTCCCTGCCCCACTTACCAGCTCACACCTGCGTCGCCGGAGTGTACAGGTAAGTCACAGATCAATATCCAATTTGGTATACAGTTTTACGTCATTGATTCTTAGTTAGTTTACCAATAACTGTAACTTATATCTATATTTACTAAAGATATGATCCCTTTTAACTTAGAAATTTGATTCGTCTTTTAAATAAGGTGTTGTAGCTATTCCTTAACGTAAGAGTAGCTTCGTTGATTGAAAGTTAATCTGGGGTATTGTTTTTATGTCACTGATGCCTTGAGTCTGTTCGATCATCAATATTTTCTGTGTGTATTTACCTCAGTTATTGTCCCTACAGTTTGGAATCAATGATCGTTACGTCCAGGTTGATATTAGTGTTTTAGAAGCATAATTACTTCAGTTACGACGTGTTTCAGCTCTGATGTTATGGCGGGGGACACCTTACCTTCAGTGAATAGTTTGAATCTCGTGTAATAGTCTTTCTAACTCCTTATAGATAAGTCAGGAAGTGGATTTGAAGAAGAAGGAGATGGAGGTGAGGGAGAAGATGAAGGAGGTAGATATGAAGGAGAAGAAGAAGAAGAAGGAGGAAGATGAGGAGGAGGAAGACGTGAAGCTGGAGGCGATGATGTCAGAGGATCCCTTAGGGTGTGCCCAGCTGTTGGTGTGTGAGTTGGCAGCACGACCCTCCTCCCTGCTGCAGCCCGAGGAACTAGCTATCCTCTCCCTCTTCAGGTAGGTACTGGTGTTGTTTCTCCTTCGTTAGGTGAGAAATTCATGCTTATGTTGACGTCTTCTGTACAATGTTTCTCTTGGCTCTCAGTCTTACATTGATTAGTGGTAAGAATTAGTGCACTTGTTTACCTGGGATTTACTTCTTGCTAATACCGAGTTCGATTCCCACGATGGAGCTATTATACTTATTTCTATATACAGGGATACAGTGTATGTTAAACCACCTCTCCTCCTCTTGCCCAGACCCGACAGTGCGAGGTCTGACGGGAACCAACTGGGGAGTGCAGTGAGATCGGGATTGAGGGGAGTGGATTGTCCCTTTCAGTACAATATCTGCCCCTTCACCCCCCTCGAGGTCCTGGCTGTCATCACCGCTGTCATAAACGACCACTAGAAACTTTACCGCAAGGAGCAACGAGCCGCAAGAGTATTATTTAACAACGACAGTACTAGGAATTAAGATCGTTTGGCTTTCCGGATGTGTGTGTGTGTGTGTGTGTGTTCGCGCGCCTCCTGCCTGCGCTAGTGTTTAGTTGTATTGTATGAACACAGATGGCGCAGGTGGTGTTGTATAGACGGATCAGAAGGTTACTCAGAGCCACTGTAGATTATGGTCTCATGATCTATATAAATAGTCACTAGAGAAATCAATAGCATGGTTACTAGCATTATTAACTAGCCACACTCTAGGAAATTCGTCGCTATTAACTTACATCAAGAAGTTCATTTACTAGTAATTCCCTCACATGAAGTTGAGTTAATGTCAAGGAACGAAGACATTAACCTCAGATGATGAACGGATTCCTAACTTGGTCAACAGAATACTTAACCTAACCTAACCTAACCTAACTTAACCTAACCTAACTTAACCTAACCTATCTTAACTGAACTAGCTCTCTTCTTCCAAGTTATGGGGGGAAAATTAACCAACAAATTTAAGTTAATCTGAACATTTATCTAATCTGGCGAATAATAACTTAGAAAATGTTTAATTATATGTAAACTTTGTTAATTTTTTAGTATTAGTGATAAAAGTTAATATGTTATGGTCAAAAAGGTTTATAATTAAGTGACCAATAGTTTATATTTTAATGATAAGAATATCTACCTCTTGAAATAAATATTTTATATATATATATACTTGTGATTAATTTGCATTTATACGAGGTTGATATATAGTTTACTGTTTGTAAAATAATTATCGATCACCTCAAATTTACTGGAATACAAAATGATCGATAACAACTAATTGGGAACTAATTGGGAAGCCTTTTATAGAGGAGTCATAAGCTGGGAAACCTATTGAAAGAAACACAATGAAACTAATTATATTTTCTACGTATATGGTGTGTGGACGCTGTCATAGTCCAGTTTAAAGACAATAAACCAAAGGGGCAGAAACCTATAGACTCAGCCAGTGTAAAGAGACACTGCTGACGACGCCTTTACTCGAGATGAACACCGTCAGCAGCGCCTCTCTGACTCTCATCATGACGTGACGCCCCACCTCCACCAGCTGACGAAAACGACGTAAGCATTCTTGCTTAGAAATCTTTCACGGCGACGCAGAAAAGTTGGGTGTGTGTGTGTGTGTGTGTGTGTGTGTGTGCAAGAGAGAGAGAGAGAGAGAGAGAGAGAGAGAGAGAGAGAGAGAGAGAGAGAGAGAGAGAGAGAGATCTTCCCCTAATCCTTCAGTGTTGTAGATGGAAAGGAAGGTCCCTCCCTCCCATCTAAGTCTCTCAATGGAAAGGAACATTCCTACGTGTCGTGTCCCACCCTCCTGTGTGTTGGGTTCAGAGTGTTGGAGGGAGGAAGGACATGGTCTTGGTATGGTTAATGGTAATATGTTTGGAGGTGAGTTAATCTTGGAGACTGTTCAGTATATTTTGGAGGGTGTTGTAGTCGGGAGGTCCAGTTGTTTACATTGCTTCTGGGTCTATGTGTGTGTATATGTGTATTACATGTACGTATGTGTATGTGTGTATGTGTAAATGATTGAAATGTATGTGTAAGATATACGAAAACACACACACACACACACACACACACATACACACACACACACACACACACACACACACACACACACACACACACACACACACACACACACTCACACACACACACACACACTGTAACACCTGTCTGTATAATTATGTAACTAATAATTTATAATATCCTGGCCAGGTAAGTGAGAACAGGTGTTGAAGGTAAGGCCACTAATTATCTCATTATCTCTCTAATTTAACAAGTGTTTTCGGCCATCAGAACCATTAATCAGTAATTAATTTGGGGGTAATTAAGGACCTCATGACGTGATTCAATTACCACAGAAAAAGTTGAGTTTTGACACATTTTTTTTTGGGGGGGGGGAGGGGCAGGGTACAAAGTGGTCAACCCCTTCCTTACACTCGCCTCATACTCTCCTTATAATCCCCTCATACCTCCCTCATACCCTCCTTATACCTGCCTAACTTACCACCTCATAACGTTCTGACAATCTCTCTCTCTCTCTCTCTCTCTCTCTCTCTCTCTCTCTCTCTCCTTCACTTGTCATACTGTAATCTAAAGAAAATTATCAGAAATTATTGAAAAAATTATCGCCATATCTTAATAATACGAATTATTTCTACATCCCCCCCTCCCCCCAACCCCCTCCCTCCCTTTCTTTTTTGACTGCAGGGTAGATTCAGGGTGATTCCAAGGTGGATGAAAGAGGGGAGGAAAGGAGGGAGGGAGACGAAGAGAAGGATAGAGGGAGATAAGGAATCTTCACCCTGTCTCGGTATAATCTAAAATAATCGACAGTTCTCCACGAATGATCCACAAAACATTACCCTCACTTAACATTCACTAATATCCATCATAATTACAGACCATGAAGCTGTCAGCAAGGAGTGTGTGTGTGTGTGTGTGCGTGTGTGGGTGTGTGTGGTGTGTGTGTGTGTGTGTGTGTGTGTGTGTGTGTGTGTGTGTGTGTGTGTGTGTGTGTGTGTGTGTGTGTGTGTGTGTGTGTGTGTGTGTGTGTGTGTGGATAATCCTTCCTGGCTGTGGTAATGACCTGCTTGCAACGCCACTCTTACATGACTGACTGATTAACTGATTGACTGATTGACTAATTAACTGACTGACTGACTTTGTGACTGATCAACTGACTGACTGACTGACTGACTGACTGACTGACTGAAAAACTAACACACTAACTGATTGTCGCACTAACTGACTGACTGACTGACTGACCGACTGAGAAAACATCTATATTTCTATCTGTCGTAAAACTGTACTCACTCCACCAAACCCACACACACAGCACACGGGGACTGCTGTAATCAGTTATAGTTACAGCACACGTTATATTACATTCCTTAAAGAGAAAATTGTAATGACTGGCTGATCCTCGTGTGATGCCTGGATTAGAAATCTAACCAACAAGGAGACTGGACTGAGGATGACTGGTCAAACAGTGGCCCAGTCACTCTTAGGCTCGAAGTCCTGAGATACCCCAGTCTAACCTAACCTAACCTAACCTAACCAATGATATGATCCTCTCAAAACAACATCAGTGCCTTCCCTCACGTCTTACTCAACAGCTCTACACACGTAAACTTTAATTCCTGAAACAGTTTGTAAATCGTCGACTCGAGTCACAGTGTGTTGTAATGTATAAGAAGATGGTCGTGTGTTTGGTCTGACTCTTGCCTACACGTTGAGTGCTCGGGGGTCTCTTGACGTCACCTCCCGGAACAGTGTCAAGTTAAATTGCTGTGTTGCTTCATGTTAGTGTGTGTGTGTGTGTGTGTGTGTGTGTGTGTGTGTGTGTGTGTGTGTCTGTGTGTGTGTGTGTGTGTGTGTATCTCTTAATGTATGTGTACTTTCTGATGATGCGTTGGTTTGCACCTGTTAGATCCTTTCCATTGGTTTACCTGCGCACACACACACACACACACACACACACACACACACACACACATAGGTAAAGTGTGTGCACAAGGGAAACTCAGGTGAGCTGCCACGACACAGGTGAAAATAGCCAGGTAATGTTACTCTGGCATCGCTGTAGTCTATCTATCTATCTATCTATCTATCTATCTATCTATCTGTCCGTCCGCCCGTGCGTCCGTCTATCTATCTATCTATCTATTGCTGTTCGACACTACACCCACATCCAGCCCATTAGACCACCTACTGATTGCTAAAAGAACAGTCGCATTCCAGCCATTGTAGAAATTACCATCAACTCGTCAATAATAACTTAATGTGTTTACTGTCAGTCAGTCTCACTTGTGTACTGTGTGTTGAAATACCTCGTTAAATGACCCCCTCTCTCGTCTTGTTATTATTATTATTATTATTATTATTATTATTATTATTGTTATTATTATTATTATTATTATTATTATTATTATTATTATTATTATTATTATTATTATTATTATTATTATTATTGTTATTATTATTATTATTATTATCCTTCGTCAATCGTTTAAATATATCACTAAATACAAATTACTCCACTTATATGTATCAAGGCTAAAAATTATAAGCTACCTGTACTGAAATACTGATATTTAAGAAAGAAGAAAACAAAATAATAACTTTCTGAAACCAGCTCACCATCTCGTCTGTCGCTAAGGTTGTGAAACAAGGAAGAGTGAGGTGACCGGAAGTTGTGGTGCCTTTGGGAACCTGGATATAGTTAATAGTGTGTTATGTTTTGGAGTTCTTTTACGGCGTTAAATTGTTTTACTTTAGGAGAATGTTCAACGTGTGTGTGTGTGTGTGTGTGTGTGTGTGTGTGTGTGTGTGTGTGTGTGTGTGTGTGTGTGTGTGTGTGTGTGTGTGTGTGTGTGTGTGTTGCTTTGGGTGTATTGTATCTATCTCTCTCTCTCCCTTCTTCCCTCCATCTCTCCCCATCTTACTCCCTCCCCTTGTCTCCCCTAACACACGACAGCAGAAAGCAGGTGTACTTTCCTCTCTGTGACATAAGGCTTTTTCATCTTTGCAGGAGAGCATGAGACTTACCTGGTGAAAGTGTAAACAAGGAGGAGGAGGAGGAGGAGGGAGGAGGAGGAGGAGGAGGAGGAGGAGGAGGAGGTGGAGGAGAAGGAGGAGAAGGAGGAGGAAGAAGAGGAGGAGGAGGAGGAAGAAGGAGGAGGAGGAGGAGGAGGAAGGAGGAGGAGGAGGAAGAAGAAAGGAGGAGGAGGAGGAGGAGGAGGAGGAGGAGGAGGAGGAGGAGGAGGTGGAGGAGAAGGAGGAGGAAGAAAGAGGAGGAGGAGGAGGAGGAAGAGGAGGAGGAGGAAGAAGAGGATGAGAAGGAGGAGGAGGAGGAGGAGGAGGAGGAGGAGGAGGTTTTTGAGTTACTTGTGAGAGGTATAATTTGTGTTTTGATATAATTATATACAGTGTGTAAGTATGATAATGATAATAATATTTTGTATAATGACGCTACTCTAATTATTACTCTATTACTACTACTACTACTACTACTACTACTACTACTACTACTATTTCCCTACATATGGCCTTCAACCTCCCTTTATAACCAAACCTTCACCACCATTGCATTATCTAACTATTGTTCAACATTCCACGAATAACTTCAGCTAAATCTGTTGTTCTATACTGTGTGTGTGTGTGTCTGTGTGTGTGTGTCTGTGTGTGTGTGTGTGTGTGTGTGTGTGTGTGTGTGTGTGTGTGTGTGTGTGTGTGTGTGTGTGTGTGTGTGTGTGTGTGTGTGTGTGTGTGTGTGTGTGTGTGTGTGTGTGTGTGTGTGTGTGTGTGTGTGTGTGTCTGTGTGTGTGTGTGTGTGTGTGTGTGTGTGTGTGTCGGTAAGACTTCACTTAATTCAAGATTCACTTCACATTGATCCTGAAGGAATTAACACAGTGGCTTTCTCCTTCATGCCTAACCACGCCCAGCTCACGTTGTTGACATGGAACATAGGAGGAACACACTCGATCACTCTTGACCCTATTCTTCACTCCACGATCGATCACTCTTGACCCTATTCTTCACTCCACGATCGATCACTCTTGACCTATTCTTCACTCCACGATCGATCACTCTTGACCCTATTCTTCACTCCACGATCGATCA